ATCAAAAGATTCCTATATTTTATTTATTATTTTAGATCTAATTCTGTAGATATATCACATAATATTATCATGTATTAAATTTTAAAAATGATATTCTGTAAATGAGCAATTCTATATGTAAAAACATGCAATCTCATAAAAATTATTTTTTTATTTTAATTCTTGAATGTTTTGATACTTTAATTTTAAACATTTTTTCTTTAAGAGATATAGCATTCATTCATAGTAATAAATTAAAAAATGAAACAGAGTAATTTTTATAAACAAAATTTCAAAACAAATTAATTAAATAAAGAAATATAACGAGAAATATAAAAATAAAAAGTACGCAAGACAACATGCTCCGATTTCGACGCAGCCGCGCGATAGGACTTCCTACATGACAATGTCAACATCAGCTGATCTCTCAATAACCTCAACGTTTGAACGATATACATCAGTATTTCGTATTATCGTCTCGGTTCGACTGACCCGACCATCGTCGAAAACTGAGTGTAACGAGGTGTAAACTGATTCGACGTCCTATCATATGTATCATCGTTCAAGACATGTCTACTCCGGAAGAGGTGATAGAGAGTTTGACAGCACAGGTGAACGAACTGCAGGCATTGCAGTCCGTCTACCCAACCGAGCTGGCCGTAACGGACCATGGGGTTTTGGCTGACATTAACAAATACATCGAGTATCCCGACCGTGAACCACCGCGATGGTTGGAGTATGTCATCGCAGTTCCATTGAACGGTGTAATATAACATTTACTTACAACATATAATGTTGCCAGATCTATATAAAATTGGATTATGAAGTTAGCACGTCATTCTATTAATATAAAAAAAATAACGACCACTTCCAGTCTCACTTTTCACAGTTCTTCAATTTCTTAGCAAAATAAAAAAAAAGTTTCACATTCTTTATACTAAAAAATCAAAATTGAAAATATGGTGTGTTAACTTCACTAATCTAGCACGATACTTCCCTTCTAAAGTACAAGAAAAAAAATATTTCCACTTTTGGTTACAGTTTCCATTAGTACTGCTCGAGTTGTACTAGTAAAATATAATTATTGAAAAGTCAAGAAATTTCTGAATCTTATCTTTTATATAAGAAATATAATATTAATAAAAAAAATAGGAAGTCAATAATGACCACTGGATAGTTCTAATATTAACTACTTACTGCAATAACTACTCCAAGTTTTACTTTTATTTATGCCAATAGTATATCATTAATATGTTGCTTTTATCACATTAGGAAAATATTGAGCTACTGATAAGCTTGCCAACTAACTACCCGAAGGAGCAGCCCGAGGTATACGCGAGAGGCTCTTGCTTGGATAGAACACAGCAGTGTCTGTTGAACAAGGATCTCTCTGTTGTTGTCAAGGCCCAGGAGGCGGGCGAGCCTTGCATCTATACGCTGATATCATGGCTGCAGGACAACGTTGAGACTTATCTCAAAGCTTCCGTATGTAACCAAGCGATTAAACGCAGCGATGCAAATACAAGTGGCACTGAAGATCGGTCCGCAGTAGTTTTCTCTAGATATTGGATCTACAGCCATCACATATACGGCAAGTTAAAACGACGGGACGTAGCTAATTTGGCAAAAGAAAACTCCATCACAGGATTCTGTCTGGCCGGTAAACCGGGAATAATTTGTATGGAGGGAACTCTGGAAGATTGCGACTACTGCTGGCAGAAAGTAATGTCAATAATGATCTTTTAATATCCTAATGTTTAATGTAATGAGAATTAGGGATGCACCGGATTGTAAAATTACCGGATACCGGATATTCGAGAAGGCAATTTCTTTCCAGTCGGATATCCGACATTTTCCGGATATCCGACTGAATTCCGAGAAAATGTCTTAAAAAAAAGATTGTAGAAAGAAATTGTAATTTTGCAACAATGTATATTATAGCATTATGAATATGCATATTTATTTTTAGAACATTTGTATAATAAAAAATCAACAATTTAATGACATAAAATTTCAACCGGATATATTCCCGGATACTAATGATATCCGACTCTCCGGTCGGATAGTAAAAAAAGTGCCGGATAATACCGGATACTTTTCGGATATCCGGTGCATCCCTAATGAGACTATTTTATACTAGTATAATTTTTTTTTACAGACTAGAGCTATGAACTGGCACAAAATATTGATAAAATTAATGGAAAAAGAGGAAAATTGTAGTAATGTGGATAATGTGCGTAAGTTTACAGAGTTTCAAGAAATTTCATTTCCTACTACTGAGCGTCACAATGACATGGGTCTGTTTCTCAAGTACCTAACTGATCATGATTGCCAGCACGCGTTCAAGGAGCTTTTCGGAATAGAAGGAAAATTTAGCAAACTTTCAGATTGATGTAATTGTGTAAAAATAGAAATGTACTTTGACTAATTTCTTTCAATCAATTTCAGATTTTTGCACAAGTGAAAAATCTTTTGCTCACCTTTATTGGGCTCATTTTCAAGGTTTCTCTTTTGTCGCTTGTTTCTCTCAAGGATTTCTTTGGTCATATTGTTCATATATTTCGCAATTTCGTTGTTAATATTATTCCTAGTGTCACTATTTAATACACTGTATGCTAAAAATACCGAATTTTTCATAAATAAAGATAATTTTTATATTTAAGTACAAAGCGATTAATATTTTACCATCACTGAGATTTTTGAAGTATTCTGTCGTTCGATCGAGTGTCGCGTACAAGTCTTCTGTTGCATAAGAATGGAAATATTCGCACTGCGTCACACATATTAACGTGAAACTCAGGAGGAACTCTCGCAACATATTCATACAAAGTAGCCTCTCAAACTATCGATCACGACTGATCCACAATGCCAGTTTGTCATTCAATAATATCATGTTTACAGTTTTTCTGTACTTAGTTCTTACCTTTCCGAATTCCACTCTGTAACAGTATGTACACACACGCACGCCAATATAAATCTCTCTATATGATACATATATAAGGAATCTTAGAATTTCTCATTTACAGATTCTTTGATAAATAGAAGATAAATTTATTCCTAACAAATAGATAATAAAACAATTAAATAAGAAATTGAAAATGAAAAAATATGTTAAATATGAATATGAGTATAAATATGTTGAATGAATGTTAATAAAATTTTATTTTATATGTGTATATGTCTGTGTATGTTAAAGTAGTTTAATTTACAAATTTTATCTAATAGTGGCGTAGCGTAAAAATTCATTGGTAAGAAATTGCCCCGGGATGTAAGGTGCAGGTGGACCAAGAATATCTTGTGCAGGACTGTGGATCTTAATTTGCCTCATATGAGTATCCCTGCCATTTTGATGATTGCTGATGACTGCTATTTGAATCATAAATGTCCTAATCGGCCGATCATTAATGTTTTTAATGGGGATCACTATCCAACCACTTGGCTCGTTCAAGTCCATCACTTCCACTTCCTGTAGATCGTTGAAATTGGTCCCAGCTCTGATGCTTATCCTGAAAGTTAGCCAAAACGCCTTTATTAATGGTAGCCAATGATGATTGCTGCTTTCTATTTAGGCCTAATTTCACCAATGTAAAATTAACTTTAATCTTGGTTCAATTTACTTTTTATCTTTTTCTAATACCAATAATTAAATTAGTGGAACTGGGCCTTAGTGAAACCAGTCGATATAAACATTCTATCTTTCATTATATTCAGTGAATAACAAAAGTAGGAAGATACTTGTGTCACTGAATGGAAAGCATCTGAGCAATATCTCTAAGCAATGGAAAGTATTGCTACCTGTTGGGAGTATAGCTCTCATCCAGCTTGTAATCTGTATAGATGCATATGTCACGAATAGTGGTTTTCCTCTTGAATTGTATGTTTACCAAGTGAGGTAGTTGCCCGTCCGATTGCCAGTACGTTTCCGTGATGTCATCACGAAGTTGGTCCACACCAAATCCTGGCTTACAGCTGGATAAGCTCCAGATTGCATAATTCCCGACCTCCCGTACTCGACCAGTTAGTTGCTCCTGTACGGGATCTATTTCCCCTGAGCGAGCATCTTTTATATGTAAGACATCCCAATGTAATTTATCACTTGAAAACTGATTGAATCGATCGCGCGATACTTGCGATGAGAAGATATAAAAGAAATTGCAGGGTAACTCACCAGTACTTGTAGTCTTGTTGCTCATGATTAAGTTAGGTTAGGCTTCTTCAAATTGTTGTGCTAATAATTTTAGCATAGCAACTTCGTTATCTAATGTGCTAATACTCGCTAGAATATCATACGAAGTAACAGCAGGTTTCCAGTACATTACGATAATTATTTCCAATTCCTAGTAAAAGTTTTAACTCTATCCTGTGCATTTTAAAAACCAGCATGCCTCTCCAGCTCTCTCTCTCTCTCTGTCACTTCCTTCCTGCTCTCTGTCTTGACTCGGCATCGAGGTATCGATACTTCTCGAGACTTCAAGTTCAAATCAATTTAAATCTTGATTCGATTTCGAACCTGCAATTGCATGTGAATGAAATCAATAATTATTCAAATTCGATTTAGATGCATGAGATAAAAATTTGTCGCCAAAAAATATCGTGTCTTTATCTATAGATGTTTTAAATCTCATCGCGACGGGTAATTTTGGGAAACCGCTTTGTTGGAGATAGCAATACTTTAAATTCCAAATCCAAATAAATTTAAAATTTGATTTAGAGATAAAAATTCGTCGAGAAATATTGCTAGTCTTTATTGATAGACATTTTAATTTTTATCGCGATTTAAAAAAAATCGCTTTGTTGTGCTACACGTTGCCATGGTTGAATTGATCGTGGTATATTGTTTTACCGCCACTTCAGTCTGTCATCGCTACTTTGCGTTGAACCTCGTGGGGCTCACGAAATTGATGAACTAAAATAATTGATATTTTGGGGCGATTCGGTAAACCGGGTAAACAATGGTAATTTAAGTCGAGTTGACTTGATCGGTGAAACAATTTTAAAATCAATTAATCGATCAACCTGCGATGACATTGGCATTGTCGAGGATAGATTACACGACGGTGGGGGTCACTTCACGTGGCACAACCATCATATTTCCGCCTTATGAAGGGATGATGAAGCAACCACAAAAGTTCGCCGTTGCAGATCACGACGGCGTGCTGCATATTTATGGTATAAATACATATTATATGCATGTCTTATTGCAATACAAAAATATCTTAACAAATAAATAGTAATAAATAAGTAATTAACATTATTTAATACTAATTTTTAAATAATATCTTAATTAATAACTAAATAACATTATTTTAATGAATGAAACAATATCACAATTAACGTCAAGAGATACTTTAATATCGCAATTATCTTCAAAAGGTGTTTTGATATTAACGTGTCAGTGTTGAAACGAATATTGTAAGACGTCTAAATTTAAGAAATATATAAAATCATTCTTTTTTGAACAGGCATGAAAAAAGGGGAGCTGCAATTGTCGTTTAAATCCTTGCCTGGCTCAAAAATTAAGAAAATGGTTCTTGGTGGCTCAATAGGTATGTTGAGGGATAAAATTTTCCTTGCGTACGGCAGCTCCGTGAAGGGATTCACGAGAAAGGGCAAGCTGTTCTTAGAGTTCGATACCAGTCTTATAGATCCAATTTCCACGATGTAAGCTCACTCACACTCAGCTCAACTCCACAATGATACCTTCGATATACTCCACAATCCCATTATCATATTATTATGAAATGTCCCTCGCAGGTACGTCCTCGGTCCTGATCTCGCGGCGTGCGCGCGTGATCTTTATCACCGGTACAGAGACTGCAAAGATGCCGATTCGTACCTGACTGGAGAAACCTTGCACGACGTAGTGCTCTTGCCCGGAGACGGCAACATAGTATACGCTATTTTAGCCTGTGCGGACTGCGCGGTAAGACGTCGTAATAATTTCATTGAATATGATTCGAGGATTCGTCCCAAAAGTCTTTCAGACTCCAATCGAAAAATGCAATAATCTTAGTAAAAAAAGCTGTACTTTCACAAGAAAACCGTCGATTACTTCATTCCATTTCTTAAAAGTTATCATTAATACTCTTGCAATTTTAACTAGAATATCCTATCATTCTTGTAAAATTTCTGCGATGGATTTAAATTTCAATTCTCTTCTTAGCAAAAACTTACAGAGATTCAAATATAGAGTTATTTTCCAGGAATGCATCTTGTAACTGATTCATCGATGCAGTTCTGCTTTCCAGGTACGTGTTTTGCACGGTACAAGAAGTCCAACGGTTTTAAGATTGCCGAGCGCTCCTACGGTGCTTTCCATATACAGGTATTATTGATATTTCACATACAACACACACACATTTCAAATGAATTATTTTATATTGCTCATCTCATTTTAGAGAGGGAGAAATATACTCGAAGGACCGCGTTTTGGTTGGTACCGCGGATGGCAGAGTTGGATTGTTGATCCTTCAAGGTAACAAAACTCTCCGAATTACCTGGCTGTTGACTTCGACAGGCTCGGGAATCACTTCGTTGGATACATATGAGCTGCAAGACGGTATAGACATCCTTGTTGGTCGGCAGGATGGAGTCGTCGAGGTGTACACGTTTCCTGACGAAGATGTATCGTCCATTCTGCGCTATCACTATGTGAGTGATTGTGATTGTATCTATAGTTCTTGTCGAATTGAATGATATTAGTTGAGAAATAAATCATTGTAGAACGCTGGCGAGAGTATCAGTACAGTCGTCGGTGGGATAATCGGCGTCGCCAATTATCCTGAGGTTCTCGTCACGACTTACTCAGGACGAGTATTTGGATTGACTACCAGTCCTCCTGGTTTACTAGAAGCGGGACAGAGCGATATCGGATTGGCCAGGTTGAAGCTAGAAATACAACAACTGCAGGAGAAACTCAATGAGGAGAAGGATTCCAATTTCGTGCCGGACCCTTTAGCACCCTTGATATTAGCAGTAAATCATAAGTAACCGCAACAAAATTATTTCTACATTATAAATACAAAACAGATTAATTAGGATTAATTAGGAACAGATTAATTAGGAAATTGAAATTGCAATAAAAGTCAATTCACAGGATGGAGTTGCACAAAGAAGATGCTTCGTATTCCCTGTCTGTAGAATTAGACGCGTCGATTGACAATATTCTAATACAATCCGATACACCCATCGACCTGTTGGAGACAGAGAACAATAGCGCAGTGGTCAGCTTATCCGCTTGCGATCCTAGAGAGAGCAATTTCATCCTTGCTACTTATCGATGTCAAGTAAATACAATTTTCTGTGTGAAACAATATAATCTCTTTGAATTTTAATAATATCTCTGAAAGTATGAAAAATCATTTGTAAATAGATTAATACAAATCGTCTAGAAATGCGACTAAGATCCATCGAGGGTCAACCAGGTACATTGCAGATATATGTAACGTCCCAGGTATTTTTCTTTTCTCATGTTGTCTTTCAAATCGAAGATTTACGTTATTAATATCTGTGGTAATTCTCAGGTACAACCGAAACGTTGCCGTAAAATTACAGTTCCTATTTACGCTTTATCTCTGCATGTCAGACTGCATGAAGATGATAACATCACATCCAGTGGTCCGTTTAATGAATTGAAACTAAATGGCCAATTCACCATTGCCGAAGTATGTTTCTTTATTTTGTTAATCTTATCGCGGGAGAAATGATTGTTTATGGATTTCTTTTCCAGATGCACGCGTGGTTATCTTTAGCGTTACCAGACGTGCCCGAGAGGCCTCATATTAACGAGGGTGAAGCTGTTTTAATATATATTTCGTCCTTTATCGGCACAATTCTCAAATGCAAATATAAGTAAGTTTATAATGGAAAATCAGACTTGCATTTGTCATTAATCTTTTGGTAAATTACAGAAAAGGGAGTGCGCTTTTTCTTGGCGAGAATATATCCACTATCATAATTCTTAGAGACATCTTGACGAAGGAGGCAACGAAACGAAAGCTAAAGCTAGATGTATTCTGCGGTAATTATTCGCGATTGTTACATATTTCTTTTTGAAGTCGTAAACTGATAGTAAACGTAAATCTTTACGCAGAGGTAGCAGAAGGAAGCATATCTAGAGTCTTGGAGTTAATTCTTCCGCGTTTGAATGCGGCCTACGATTTAATTCAAAAGATAAAAATTCTGGATGCTCTCGAAGAATGGGAGCTCCAGTCCAATCCGAGGGAAAACTTATGTTCCGAGTATCAAGAGTTGTTGGAGAAAGAAACGGAGATCAGATCGCTTATGGCGAAGGACACTGAACTCCTGAACAGGCTGCATGCTATCATTACCGATTTATATGTAGATTGGGAACGAGCGAAGCGATCTCGAAGGTAAAGATAAGATTCTTATCGGCGCGGCCCAATTCTAACAATACTATTCGTGTAACAGAATCAGTGGCAAGGAGGCTACGGCGAAGCTCCAAGATGCCCTCGAATCTAAAGATCTAGCTACCATCTTACAAATTTTCATCGGTAAAACCGACGTGAGCGTGCCGACTCTAATACCTGCGGCTATTTAGACGTTCGGAGATTGTGAATGAAGTGGACCAATGCATTTCTATAAACACATTCAAGTAAAAAATATATTTTTTAACGTTGATTCACAATAATATGTATTTACAGGGTGTCCCATTTTAAATAATGCATTAAGATTTCTCGAAAACTGTGGTAGATACGGAGAAATGTTTCAAACAAAAGTTGTATGGTTCGGAGGGAGACATAAGAAGAACCATTGATTTGGGTGACGTCGCCAAGGCCAGATCAAAGTCACGTCGATTTTTTAAAATGGAATTCCCTCCATTTTTCCGTCTACCACAGTTTTCGAGAAATCTTAATGCATTATTTAAAATGGGACACCTTGTATATCAATCATTAAATTGCACAAATTATACAATTGTACAATCCTAGTCTTAAAAATGTACATTTAGTGTTAATTACAGTATAATGTGTACATGTATCATTTATACATTTACGTATATAAATGATATTTTCGTCACAGGAATCTTGGATTTGTTGTAAAACAATTTATCTGGAGACATGATAGTGTTTCGGCGCTAAGCATAGCGCGAGATATACACTGCCGTCGAAAAGTTTCCGGACATGGAACTTAAAATTGCATAATATTCAAGTTACCGTAATTCGATAAAAAAATCATTGCAGACAAAAAAATAAAAAGCATGCTAAAGTATAAGTTTCAAGCTTTAAAATGCTGTTTTATTTTTTTGTCTGCAATGATTTTTTTATCGAATTACGGTGACCTGAATATTATGCAATTTTAAGTTTCATGTCCGGAAACTTAAAACTTCGACGGCAGTGCATATGATCATCTATTTAATCTCTCTCTCTCTCTCTCTCTCTCTCTCACACAAATTACTTATTTTTTTGAGAACTAATGAAGTTAATTATTTATAAGCAGTATATGATGCGATTTACTTAAAACTGAAATTTGTCTGCTATTATTTGCTTTCGAATAAGTAAATTTTGTTTTTTAAATCTTATAAAATTATATATACAATTTTTTCAAAAATGAAATCACTTTGAATCTACTTAATCTGCTATTAAAAGCAATTTCATGAAACGTAATGTTTGCATTACAGACCGTTTAAGTGCCGATATTCCTTGGAATACATTTCCTTCTCTTGAGTCTTCCACGATTACATAAAAAAATATTGCCTGCGAAAACACAATGGATTAATTAATAGTCACAGTATATAAAAAACTCTTTTACTATGGTCAAGATATACAACTGAATTTGAGATATACAACTTTACTCACATACTATCAGTCGTTCGCACAACTGCTTCCAAAGGATCCCTGTTTACAGTATCTGCTGTAGATGTCACGGTGTATTCCAAGGTTTGAGCGCCTGTATGTGGCAAAATGGTCTCCTGATTATCATCCGGTGGGACAATCTCCACAACACCTGTTGCTTCGACTTCCAGTTTCAGATCTCTCACGAGATCCTGAATCGTTTTTGCCTGCGTTCCCTTGTTGCTCCCTATCTGCTGCACATTTTTCTTCGTTTTGTTTTGCTTGTCATTCTTTTTCGTTCGACTGTGCGTCTGCATGTGTCTCTTCATATCACTTCGTACTCTGAACGGCTTTCCGCACACCCCGCACGGATGCGGCTTCTCGCCGGTGTGTATGCGACGATGATTCTGTAAGTAACTGCTCGCGCGAAACGTTTTGTTGCAATACTCGCAACGATAGTTCTTCTCGCCAGTGTGGATACGCCTATGCAAGATCAGTGAGTATTTTCGGGCAAACTCCTTGGCGCAAAATTCACATTGATACTGTTTGTGTTCCGAATGGAGACTCGTCGAGTGATACTTTAAGTCGCCCCATTGTCGAAAGTGTCGTCCACATTCTTCGCATTTGTACGGTTTGTCACCGCTATGAAGTCTCTTATGTACCTATTCGTCGTTACAAAAAATAGTTAGATTTTTATATATTAATAACAAAAATAAATTTTACACTTTGTGGACATCTGCTTACTTTCAACGCGCTGGCAGCAAAGAAACGTTTACTGCAAATATCGCATTGATGCGGCCGTTCTCCGCTATGAGATCGCATGTGGTAAATTAAACTATTTTTATGGTGGAATGAACGATTACACTGATCACATATTAATTCATCTACAAGAGAATACTATCTTTAAAATTTATATCTTTGGCATGTCAAGAACTTCTGAGGGAAAAAGAATTACACGCACTTAACTTTCGTGTTTTCGATGATTTCTTTTTTTTGGCCGTTCGTGGAATGTCAGTCTTTGCCTTCTCGTTGGAACTCTTATCATTACTAACTTCCGGTGGTTTTATTTGTTGGTCCCTTTGTTGTACCTCTTCTGTGACGCCAGTAATGGTCCACATGGTTGATTCGGTGTTCGAAGTGGATAGCGGAGAGTCCGTCTCATCGTCGATACGCGCGCCAGTTTCTTCCACTGCAGGCGGCAAAGATCAACAAGTTCGTAATAGTTCATATCGAAAAGTTTAAAAAATGTTAATATCAAAGATGTTATGTCTCTCTTACCTACGTTTCGAATACCCTCCATAAGGTCTTCAGGTTCACTAAATTCTTCAATCACGGTATTCTCTAAACTGTGTACTGTTTCCGGCACTGATATAGAGATATTAGTATTTGTTGCTTGAGCTATTCGCGTTTCTTGTTTTACTGGTTCATAATGTACCTATATTAAAATTATTAAAATTATTTTTTATATCAACAACTATTTCTATTTCTATTAAATTTCTGTTAAAGATACATATGTACAGTGGCTATCAAAAGATCTAGTATATAAATGCCTGATATATTCTAGTACATAAAATGTTAAGTTAATTATAATAAGAATTTTATTAATTTATAATATAAACTAAAAAATAAATTGACCAAAAATTATGTTGGCCGAAAACTTTTGGTAGCTACTGTATGTATTAAAAAAATTTAATTGTTCTCTGCAATATGTATACCTTTAAGTGCTCAAAGAACTTTAACTGACTGCTAAACTTAGAACTACACAATTCACATTTAAAGACGTTAGTCTGAGCTTCGCTAGTCAATTCAATTGCTGCATTCTCTTGAATCAATTTATTACTATCTTTTCGCGTCGTGTTCTTCTTTGTTTGCTGTTGTTTTAGCTTCCGAGGTATCCTTTTTTTGTGTGGCAGGGTTCTTTTGGGTCCAGATGCCGACGTGGCATCCTCACTACTTTCCGTGGAAACCTCAACGTCGTATTCGCTTTTAACGTTGATAAACTCTTGCTTTACATTATGCGTAATCCTCTTGAAAAGTTGTAAAGGTGGATACACGGACGGAGCGGCGTTTGGTTCTGGTACTGCTTGAATGGAGTACGAATTCACTGGCGCCAGGGTCTCGAGATGTGAAACGTCTGGTAGAGTCGGGTCCTCGTGTTGTGACTGGATATGGAGCTGCTGTTTCTGCAACTGTACCGCGACCAAGGCCGCGGTAAGTCTACGGTCTTCCTGCATCACACAATTCACATTCTACATGTAAGGTATAAATATATTCAATTCTACGGACATTAAGTAACATATTACAACTTCTGTTAATTCATGCGACAGCAAGTCTTCCGCCTCATAATACTGCGTGCCAGTGCCATAGTCTGTGCCAACGCCTGCATTAATCATATCCACGACCATGCCGTCGGAGATTAATTCACCATTCAGAGTTAACAGCGGTACTCCCTTGCTCAAGACTTCTCCGTCGGCTCTCTGGATGGTAATATATTGAGCACCCTCCATTCCTTCTAGAAGCACAGCCTGTGCCTCTTCCGTTGTAACTTCCATAGCTGAATATTCTGAATACAACGACTAGTAATTGTCCTTCACAAACTTTTATTTATCTATAGATGCCAAATCTGTGAATCATAGAGAAAAGTGAGTGTAAAAAATCTATTTTCTTTAATTTGTTACGCAATTAAAAGTAGTTCAAAGTTAAAATAGATTAAAATTAATTCCAATATACACCAAATATTTAATTCACTGATCTCTCTATTGTCATGTGATAATTTTAAAATCATTCTCTGTTATGTGTATACAATAATAGTAACTTCTGTTTAAATCAACTATTTTACAAATTCACCGAAATATCAATAAATATAAATAATAAATATCAATAAATATCAAATAATAAATATCAAACAACAAATATTAATAAAATAAGAAAAATGTATATAAAATAATTAACTATATTGTGTGAAAATATTTAATATCACTTTTGTATTCTGTATGTATGCAGTAACTTTTATTTGAGTTAAAGAAAAAGTTTATATTCTACCTCTACAGCATAACACAATAAGTGCTTTCCATTTAGAGCCATTTTGACTCCGACTAGGACCAACTCCGATTAACTTTGGTCATCGATTAGTTCATTGGAATTGATCAATCGCATTTGTCATTTCGATTAATTGGCCAATTCTAATGGACTAAAGTTAATCTACATCGATTAAAGTTAATCGGAGTTGGTCCAAGTGGCTTATACCCCTTTCTACCAATACAGTTTAACTTTAATCTCGGTTCAACTAACACTTTATCTAGTTTTAAGAATAAGAAAAAGATGAAGAGTAATGATGTATTCAATTTAAATCATAAATATAATAAGAAACCCTTTTCAATCTAAATTATAAATATAATAAGAAAGCATATTCGATATACTGACTCGACCCGACTCCGAGTCAATGATCTGTTCTGTTTAGCTACAAAAGAAGAGCTAAACTATGCAAGAAATGCAGTTAAAAAGAACAGATCGTTGACTCAGAGTCGGGTCGAGTCAAGTAAATCGAATACGCTACAAATTGAACCGAGATTAAAGTTAATCTACATTGGTAGAAACAGGCATTATTAGGCTTGTTTCTATCAATTGTAGATTAACTTTAATTTCGGTTCAACTTACTCTTCATCTTTTTCTAGTTCCAAAGATTAGAAAAAGAAGAGTAAATTAAACCAAGATTAAAGTTAATCCATATTGGTAGAAATGGGCATTTCCATTTAGGCCCAGTTCCACA